ACGATAACCATAAAGTGTTATGGCCAAAAAAGTGAAAGAAAACCAAATAATTGAACAATTTCATTGAAATAATTATGTTTTAAGGAATTTTTGCTAATCTAAAAAGACAATAAATACCTTCCAAAATTATATTATTTTGCTATTAAAATACATAACATTACAATGAGTTATTCATAAATCGAACAAAAAAGGAAAAAAAGCTTTTTTTTCCTGCATTATGCAATTTTTTCCATTTCAATTCTGAAATATAAAATAGCAGTTCCGAAATAATAATAGAAAAAGTACGAAAAGCAACGGAAAGTGAATTAAATGAATTAATGAATTAATAAATATCGATGAGTCAATCATCTGTCTTTTTTATTTTAATTGGAGGGGATGATATTTCAACGTTGGACTATTTCATTAAAATTCGTTGCAGTGTATATATTTCATCGAATCAGTTTTATATATGCAGTGGAATTAATCAAAATGACGCATTTCATAATTTCAATTCAACATATATATGACGTTCAGAACAAAGTCATTTAAATTAAAAGGAAAAGACTATTCTTGTAAACGTCATCTGCCTAAATTATTATCATTAAACTGGTAAGATGGTCTAATTTTTTGTACAACGATATAATCTACTCTCCATTGATCGAGTATACAAATAATTGATTGATTAATTGTTAGCAAATACTGAGCGAAATTATTCAATTAGCAATATTTAACATTTGACTTCGGGAAATATTAATTTATTGGAAATTTTTAAATTATTAATTGAAATGTTTGCATATATAACGATAAAGAATGTATGGGATGTGCAGACATTTATTTGATGTAAAATTTTGCGTTTCACATAAATTTCTATATGTCATTTCATTTATAAATAAAAGTAAATCTATAAAATTCGAAGAATCATTTAAAACATTAAAAAAAATTGTCAGAGTTTGTTGAATATAAAATTATTTCCTTATAATACATTTTTTCTTTGTAATTTTCAGGCCATTAAGAATTTTTGCAGTACCAAAAATAATATGTTAATGGACAAATCAGTGATTCTATTTCAACCATTAACTGTAAGAGCAAATTTTTACAACATGAAATAAGTACTGTTTACCATAAATACTATTCTGATACGTATTTTTCATTATGCTAGCATGAAAATATTAAAAAATATTTCTTATACCAATATTAAGTTTCTGGACTAATTCAAAAATACACTCATTTAATGCAAAATAATTGCTAATGAGAATCAACGATTTCAAATATGATTAATTAGCTTTCAATTTCACCCAATCCCATCCCAATGATTACATCCTATCGTTATCTCCTCACCGTCTTTCCTTTTTTCTCCCTCTTTGTTATTCATCTTTCTTTAAAAAAAAGAAAAAACAAAAATTAAGGGAATATGCAATTAAATATAGTTCATGCTTTTTTTTTGAAGTTTAAAAGTTTTGCCAAATGATGAGAAAAAAAATAAAAACATTTAAAGAAAGAAAAATCCATGTTACAATTTATAAATTTTATTTCTTTTAGGTTTTCCTTAATTTAACAAAATACTTTAATTTAGTTTTTTCTTTACATCTCTATGAAAGTTTCCCATTTTAAACTTAACAATTTTAAACATTGGTGCTTAATCTTAAGCAATAAAATTCCTTCCCTCCTTCACTTCTGCTCTTCCAATTCCATAAAGTAAATTTGTCAAAAATTCGAAGAAAACTTCAAAATAAGTTGAAAAACGAGAAAAGTCCCGTGTAATGCACTAATGAGGAATGAAATTATCAATAATTTTATTTCATCATCATTTTAAATCACTATTAAAACAATAGATTTCATATTTTATCGAAAGTTTAGAATAAAAATTAAATAAATCGGAATGAATTTCATGGAAAATTTTAAAAAGATAAACTGTATAACATTAAGCGTATGGAATGATGGAAATTGAAGAGGTAAAAAGATAGATTCATTGCGAAGGTAAAAGAGATTACGAGAGAGGCAATTGGAAAGGTCAGAATTATGATGATGGATGAGAAAGGAGTTCAGAGGTAGAAAGGATGTGAGAGGAGAGAGTTAAGGAGGGAAAATATCTATGAGAAAAGAATTTAATGGTAATAATAATGAACGCTTGAAGTCCTTGAAAGGAAGAAATTACTCCGAGTTTCTTCCTCTCACAATACCTCCTCTCCACCTTAACTGTGAAAAGATGAAATGAAATCGATGTCGTACTATACAAACACACACACACACACACACACACACACACACACACACACACATACATACACACACAGTTACAGATACTAATACACCACACAGACACATAGACATACAGACACACAGACACAGACACAGACACACTGATGTTAATAATAGGTGTGTATAGACGATGAGTCATAAGTGATGATAATGAAATGTTTGCGAGAAATTTTATGAAGAAAAGAGGTTTTTTTTTTTTTTTGTCTTTTGTTCGAATTTTCGTTAAAGTAAGGAAAATGAGAAAATTTTGAGGTTTTTTTGCGAAGAGGAAAAATTTGAAAAAGAGGGATGAAAAATATGTGAATGATGAAATAAATTGAAGAAAAGATGAACAGATTGATGATGGTACTGTTTGATGATTGAAAAGTATATGGCCATATAATCATTTCAGAATGGTTGGCTGGTATTTGTACCGTCAGCAACTATGTCATATTGATTTTGTCTTTAAAGAGAATGGAATAAAATTTTTAAATTCAATCGACTGTACTGTTATTAAGGGTAAGAGAACTGAAGTGCAAATTTAAATATCACTTGAGAGTAAATGTTAAGCTATCATTAATTATTGAATTTTTTTGCATCTATTCATTTTTCTCTTATTTTAAATTAATCATTGGAGGATTTAATTATTCGATAATTGCATTTGTGCGAATGTGAGAATTGGTGGATTTCTCCATAAAGTTTGCAATGAATTATCAAAAAGAAAAATTGAAATTTATAAAAATCTTTAAGCGAATTTTGAAATTAAAACTACGCATTACATCTTTTTGATTATTTATAAATATTAGCAAAATATGATTGCTAGCATTGTTATCATTCTTGAACCATCCTTTGCGAAAGAGAAAAACAAAGAATACCGACATAATTTCAAAGGTCAAAATAAAATATAAAAATTTTGCTTTTACATTCTTCCGAAATGTTTAAAATATTATTATTTCATATTTCTAGTTTTAATATTGATGAAAAAAGTTAGGATGATTAATATTAATTTTTATACCGTAGTGTTTATACAATGAAAAATACTTCCTTCATTATTTTCTTCCGTTAAATTTTATTTTGAAAACTTTTTTCCCGTTTTTTTAAATAAAAATTGCGTTATTTTTTCATATTCTTAATGAAACTTTGAATTTAATTGACAGTAAATTCATCATTCATCAAAAGAAATTATATTTAATTTCATATTCCTGCAATTTTGTTCTCATTTTGAAGAAGAATAACAAAGAGAGAAAGAAAGAAAGTAGGAAAGAAGGAAGATAATAAAAAAGGATGATAGAATGTAATATTTGTTAGATTGGAAAAAAATTTGAATATAAAATTAAAAAGAATAATTAATTATGCCTGAATGGAAATTTTATATTAAGTCAGGTAATTTTATTTCAAATGAATATGTTTTTGAATTCTATCACTGACATTAATTTTATTAGAAAAAAAATTTGTATGATCGTTATGAAACAAAAAATCCTTTTTCTTTCCTTTCGAAAATGAAAGAATAATTACAAGTATATATTTTAGCCTAAATTTAATTTCAAAGTTTGAGTGTTGCCTTTAGTTTTTTAACGACAAAACTTTTAAATTCTTTAATGTTTTGTCAATAATCAGATGTTATCACAACGGCTGGAAGTGCTGAACGATGGAACTCAGAAATGTCATTAACGTTGAAGAACCGGAAATTACTCAATAAAAAGAAATTGAGATATAAATGATGGACCAAACTTCCATGTGATTATCATCATCATTACTATCACTATCATTTATTATCACTTCTGTTCCTTCTGTTTAACGAATATCTGGAAAAGCCTGGCAGATTTTTAACCTGCCAGGCTTCTGCCAAATATTTCGTTTGCTGAAAGTTATCAAACATATTTGCCACTTCTTATTGTTTTTTATAATAATTAGCCAATGTTACTCAATTTAATTATCCGAAATTCTTTTTTATTTATTTACAAAAATTATTTCATTTGTTTGCAAAAATTTAGATGATATTTTACTAACAAGCGCATATTCATTATGCATAATGCTTCAATTCCATTATTCTGATAAATTGGGAATGAATGATGAATAAATGACAGAGGTAGAAATGGGTAAAATTCTTGAAGTTTTCAAGCAGGTGAAACAAACATGCATCATACCCATCGTTTTTTTTTGCTCGTTCTCATCAGATACTTGGCTATCATTGTAATATTCTTTAGGGCACAAGCATTGTTCAGACAGTGCTTGGTATATTAGGAAGATTGCGACAATTTTTTCACCGCTTGAAATCGGTAATTTAACGGAATTTGTAATTAGCAAAAGATTTCTGGTGATAAAGTAGAAATAAGATGATAAGTGACTTTTATGAATGAAACTAAAAAATGTGTGGCATATTCCTTCCAAATTAAGGTCTATACAACTGCTTTGTAAAATAACATCACAGCCTGATTGTTTATCAATATAAATAATATCTAAAAAGCGGCAAAAAACTTCAATGCAATTTTAAAAGAATCCAAAATTTGGAAAAGAAAATAATTTGAGGTAAGCAGTAGGAATAAATATTAAATATAATCAATGGAAGTTATTGCCCTTGTCAACGAATAATCTTGCGGAATAGAGGGCTAAAGGGTCAAAGGGTTAGGAGATTAAAGAATGTTGTAGCGAGAAAAGATTGCTCTTTGAGATATTTTGATCATATTACTCCTTCATAATCTGGTATGAAAAAGGATAAAGTGGTCATAGATCGGAAAGTTAAAAAATGGGTTAGTAAACTGATCAAAGGAATTATAGGAATATTATGATCGTTTCCTACTGCCAAACAGCTTTTCCAAAGGATATTTGCTGTGATCAATTTGAAATTGTTTTGTATTGACAATGTATCTGCAAATATCGTTCGGTTTTAGTTTACTGATATTTCAGTTCCCCGTAGAATTTTTTTAGCCTCAGTTTACATAATTTTAATATATATATTTTGATTTCAGTAATTTAATATTTTTTTACTGCCGTTTGAATAAATCTTTTATATTTTCAGGTTTTAGTTATGGAAATTTCAGCATACTAACGACTAGGGCATTTGTTTTGATCTGACATACTTATCCTTTTATCTAATAGAATTTTATCAAAAATGTTTGTTATACATAATATTGCTCCGAGACCTCTTGTCTTATTACACTCTCCAATAAGAACTCTCCACGTGTCAGCAAAAGCCGAAAAATGTGCAGGACCAGTAATCATTGCTTCGGCTATGGGCTTTGCAGTTTTGCATGTCTGACGATTCTTTGTTGCAGTTCGTTTCATGATTGCACGATCAACGAATGACCGTGATTTCTCTGTCCATTTGCATCGAGTGCACATCGAGACCGCCCAACAAGGAAATGTCATTGCTCTCGGAGTCATCTCAATTCCGTCGTTGACACGCGGAGCGAACAATCACTCTCACGATTAATATTTTTCTATTGCGGGATTACTGTTGCAGTTGTGACTCAATCAATTCTTTTTAAGTCCTCTCGAACATTAAAACGATTATTTCAGTCCCATTAGTCAAGAAATTTACGTCACTATAATTGTCATTGTATAGCGGTAATCTTCTGCGAAGAATTAACCTCCGCTCTATGAAACAAAATTCATTCAATCAAAAATTTTCCATGATATGCTTGGAAAGAAAACTTCTATTTAAGAAGAAAATTAACTTTCACCAAATATTTGATTGTGCAAAATCAAAGTTTTCTCAAAGCAAAGAAAAATAATATATTTTAATGCTACGAGCTCCAATATTAGAAAAACTTCTCAAAGAAGTCAAAGGAATAAATCTAATATGATTGGATCAAGTGTTGATCCGAGAAGAAACCTATCAGCAATATTAGGCCAGAAAAAGAATTGTCAAAGAGGAAATAATGCGTGTTGAATTATATATTGGCACACTCGAAACCGCCAACACAAATTGGATACAATACATTCAACAAGTTTCGATCTTGTCAAGAAAAAGGAAGACGAAAAATATGCTCAAATGTTCGACGACGGAGGAGGTTTTAATTTAACAAGTATACAAAAAGAAACTGTCATAATTTTATTTATAGAAATAGCTTTGAATTAGTTCTGCAATGCCTGAACCAAAGTTATGTGAGGGATGAATTGACTCACTACAAGAGTCGTGTCAAATATATCACCATTGCCTGCATTCAGTGATAAATCAAAATTATGGAGAGCATTCTTGATAATTTTTGATCCTCAAGATATTTCAGATATGCAAAAAAAAAAATACTATTTAATTTATTTCAACAGCGTCAGTCCCTTTTTAAAGTTTTATATTATTTATTTATTAGAATCTACAAATAAACACTTTTCTGAAGTCAGAATTATCTTTCAATGAAATTTAGTTTCAGCGATTTTCAGCGAGAGTAAGTTGTTATGCTTGTTGTTTGAATGGAAAACTTCCGTATTGTAGCAGTAATGAATGCGCAACTGTTTTCTTTTCGATGTAATTAGCAATATATTTTCTAGAAGAAATTTTTTTTTTAAGCAAATTTTGTCGTGAACCTTTGATTAGACTGAATTGGGGTTTGAATATGGTGCAAGTTGGATTTGGTGGAGAAGGGTTCTCTGTGGACGAATTCGGGATTTGTAAGGTTGTAGCACAAGAAGAATATAATAACAATTTATTTTAAAGAAAACGGGAACGGTGACTTTGGTAAAACTGTAGAAAACTGTGTAAACTGCGAAGAAACTGACTTGATACAAAGTTATGGTCTTTTATAGAAAAGATTTTGTAAGAAGGAGATTTACAAGGATGGACATATTCACACTAGAAGAAAGTAGATAAAATTGAAGATAAAAATTTTCATGAGAAGAAATGGTTTTACTCATAAAAACTGTAAGCTAAATCAGTTGATAAAATGGTTGGATTAAATTATTTAGACATAAAACAATTCTTTATGAGATGAGAACATCCGCTGGAGACGGCGCCATGAGAATGGTTTACATTTTACAAGCAATGATTCATAGAAAAATAAAGATTTAGAAATATTTAGAATTAAAAATTAGTTTCGAGAAAATTCTCGACATCGTTTATCTTTTCATCTTCTTTAAAAGTGTTTGTAATTGAGGTTTGTAATTCGTCTATGATAATATGTCGTTCGGTTATTTGAGCGTTAAAATTTCCAATTCTCTTGAACAGACATTTTTTGGTACTGTTCCGTAGGATAATACCTGTATTCGTTACTTGTATATTGCACTGTCCAATATTGTCAATATCTGACATCAATCCTTTGCCGTGATAAAGAAATAATTCACCTTTAATGAGTATGAGATTAGTAGCTGATTCACATTTAGTTCCTAATCAATCGTATGAATATCATACATTATTGTTTGTAGTGCATTTATTAGGCGAGATTTGTTTTAATGGCGTTCCATTTAATTCCTTTTCATTGTCTAAATTTATACAGAGATGAGAAGATGTAGCTGAAATAGTGGTTTTATCAGATGCTACTGATAATGATAATCTTAAAAAGGCTTTAGTACATACTGTTCGTGTAATATTATTACATTTGATCCCTGGTAATCGAATATGGGTTCTAGTATAGACTGTAACTGTGTGAAATTCTGTAATGTAATTTCATTACAATTCCATTTTTGAGGCATATTAAAGGGAATGCCTGATACCCATTTACATTCTCTCATCGAACTGTTGTTATGAGAATCAACAATATCGCCAATAAACAGTTTGTTATAGAAATTAACTTACAATTCGTTTGCGTATTTTGCTTTTGTGTTGCACTTCTCGTTCTGGCAGCAATAAGTTCCTCCTGTGGTTTTAATTGTTGAGTCGATTTCTCCGGCTCCGATATTTGGGCCTTTTGGCTTTCATCGTTTCCAACTTCGAGAGGATATAACATGTTTACTGGTCGATTAAGCAAATTTTCCTGCGGTGTCTCGATTATAACATTACGTACTTCCCCATCTCTTCCCCTTTTGAGTTCTTTTGCCTTAGCAATTTTCCACACACCTCGAGGAATATTTGGCTCATTAAGTAAGACAATTTCTTGTTCGTGAGATTCTTTTTCCTCCACTAATTTAGGGGATTTGTGGTGTCTTTGAGTTCGTTCTCTTAGACTATTTAAATATTCCCTCTTCCAAACTTCTCAAAATGTATCTAATGCTTTATTTGTGTGTATCCAATATTTGACTAACTTGTCGTGTGTACTCATTTGGTATGGGATAAATTCTTCTAGATCTTCTTCATTAAAAATTTGAGTTGTTAAGGGGGGCATTTGGGGATATAAAATCGACTGGGCAAATGATTGTATACTCATCAAAATTTACATAAGTTAATGGACGACTGTTTAAGACACCTTCTATTTCTGCCATTAATGTGATCAACTCTTTGTGCCGTAATAATCGTCGACCAATAGATCTTCTCATATCGTTTTTGGTTAGCCCAATTAGTCGTTCATAAACTCCTCCACTACAGGGAGCTCTTGGAGTGAGTTCCTTTTATTGCTATGAAGTGAGTATGTTTCATAATGGTTTTGAAGGAAAAAATAATTGAAACTGACCAGCGTTGTCACTGAGAACCAACTTGGGGTATGGGTATCCTCGTCGTGCACCGAATCTCCGCAATACATGCATAAAACTTTCTGCTGACAAGTCATCTACCACTTCGAGGTGTATAGCCCTGGTTGTGAAGCATGTAAATAAGGCAATCCATCTTTTATTCAGTCCGCTTTCACATTTTATAGAAAGAGGACCTAAATAATCTAATCCAACATTTTCGAATATTCGAGTACGCTGAACTCGCTGATTTGATAGATTGGGCATAATTGGTAATAGAAGTGGTTTTGCCCTCCATCTTTTACATGCCATACATTTATTCGTCGTTTAACTTCGGTTCTTCTTTTTGGTATCCAGAAATTTCTTCTCAATTCTCATAATGTATGGACAATTCCAGCATGGCATAAATCTTCGTGTCGAGCTTCTATAAGAAGTTGTGTCTTGGAAGGTAAATTGGACTGTTTGGATATGTTCCTACTCCGCTGTCTTCAATTCAGCTGAAGTATTTCCAATTCGTCGTAATGTGATTCCATTTATTTAAATCTTCTTCCGTTATTCCTTCTACTTGCGCTTGTGTAATTAGGGTCTTTGTTGCCATTGCTAAGTCGAATGTTGATAAACCTTGGTTAATTGATATTTTGTTCAACCATGGGATTTTTCCTTTTGCAACAACCCTTATGAATTTTAATATCCATGCTGTAATCTTGATTTTGCATTATTCGAAAATTTCTTTTCGTGAAGTGTGCTATTGTATGCGCTGCTGTGTCTGCTTTCGTCTTTATATGCTTCCTTGTCTATTTCTTCATAACAAATGTTATGTTCCCATTGTGGCCATGCTAATTCTTCATCTTTCAACCAGTCAGGTCTGTTCCACCAAACTTCAGATTGGGCAAGTTCATTTGGCGAGCTATCTATCGTTGCTATATCGGCTGGCTGGATTGTACTTATATGAAAATTTTGCCTTTCGTATTTCTTCAACACGGTTTTGTACAATTATCAGTGGTAGCCGTGATTGATTTTTCATCCAATGTAACGCGATTAGGGAATCTGATCGGGAATTTTATAGTTTCAAGTTCTAATTGTTTGATAACGAATTGTGTTGCTCGCACTCCAATCAAAATTGCTAATAATTCCAATTTGGGTATGGTCATACCTTTCATAGGAGCTATTCGTGATTTTTTTGTAAATCAAGGATGTTTTCTTCCCTTGTTTAGCGTAAATTGCAGCAGTATGATGCGGTTGGAGAGACGTCTGTGAATGTATATATTTCTAACTGTTGTAAACATTCCAATCAATTACTTTACGTGATACTGCCTTTACTCTTGTTGGCCATTGATTGGTAAGTTCACTCCATGTTCTTAAATCCTCGTTTTCTAACGATTGATCCTATGATAAATTCTTTTTCCAAAGATTTCGTAGGAATAATTTGAATATTAACATTGATGGAATTATAAATCCTAAAGGATCATATTGCGATACGAGGAATTGCAATATTGTCCTTATAGTTGGAGTTTGATTGTTCCATGGCTTTAATAAAATTTCAATGGAACCGTTTGTTGGATTCCAAGTAATATCAAGTATTTTCTTTGTTTGACTTACTCTTGATCGATCATTTTCAGGGACAAGTTTGTTAAATTCATTGTCATTTAAAAAGAATCCCCCTATATTCATTGAGGCCCTTTTGAAGATTTCTTTCATTTCTTTGTGGATTTTGAAGGCTTCTTGAGCCCCATTTGAAGACAAGATAATATTGTCTATATAGAAATTTTTCTTAATTTCTAGAGCTGTTTTGCTTCCATGATTTTCTAAATGGTAATTAAGAGTAGCTGCTAATAAAAAGGGTGAGGATATCACTCCAAGTGGAACCGGTAACATATCTGAAACCGGTCACATACCAGATTTTCCTTCGTCAACTCTTCTTTGATATTCTTTACCCATAAAAATCGGGTACAATTTCGTTCAGATGGGTGCTCCAATTGTAAAAATGCCTTTTCGATGTCCACGATTATTTTGTTCCACAATCCATAAATTATGAAAGCTATGATTGAAAAGCTATGATGAAAGCTATGATTGAAAAGACATATATGGTAGATGGTCGGTAAAATTAGTAACGGTTTTTAAGTGAATTTCTATTAAAATTTGCCGTTTTAATCTTTGGCCTTTTCCCAATCTTAGATCAATTTGTCCTCGCAATCAATTTTTCATTATCAATTTATTTAGGTATTCAACTATCGTTTTTCCATTATTTTGCAACATTTGTAAACCATTAAAAAAAATAGAATTTTTCATTGCAAATATTATGCGTGTATTTGAATGATTTATACAATATACAAGAGGATTTTTTTTTCTTTTATTAATTTCTTTTATTCTTTTTCCAGTAATTGTCTAATTATTTGGAAATTACTGATATTTACAAAAATGGTGTCAAAAATATGAAAAATTTCCATTAGAAATTTCTTTCAAGGAAGAAAGAGATGATTCACCAATAATAGTATGTGATAAAATTACAAGAATTCTTTGATTTTGCATGATTTCTATGCTGCAATGATACTCGTTAGTGAGCAAATTACATTAAAAAATTCGAAATGTTTTGAAAATTTCATGATGTTGCATTTAATATCAATGAATGTATTAATGTGAACTATGTCAATTTTTTAGAAAAATTAAATGATAACGGAGAATCACATTGGTGAATTTTATTGAACCAAAATGGTGGCGAAAATTTCATGAAATTTTAAATCTCTTAATTGATTTTTCTTTTATCAAAAGTAAAAGATAAAAGGACTTCTAGCAAAAAAAAAATTTTTTTATTTAAAATTATGCATATATACTATTCTTTCGGGCAAATAGTATGCTGTGCGAACATTTATCTGAGTATTAATATCATCAAATAATTTTTTTAAGCCAATGTGAGGTTGATAATATTCAGATGATATGATCAAATTATTTGGCTTTTATTATCTTAAAACTTTTACTACCTCCTTCTTTGTTCATGCTTAATTAATCCATTAAATTAAAAGTATTTTTCTCTTCTACAAACTTGGTTTAAAACACTGTTCGCTTCTAAAATCAATTTTTGTCTTCAAATTTAATATCATATCGCGGTTGATTTTGGTTTTGCTATACATAACTTAGTTTTTTCCCTATATATTTGGCTAATCGAGAAATCGAGAATTATTATTGCAGGGTATCATTGGTTATGCTATCAATTTCTGTCGTGTCCAATTTGCAATATCGTTTTGTAATTACAAGCTTTTAATACAACCAATGCAGTAAATGAATGGGTGGAAAATTGTTATATTTTTTTATGCAAGAATATTCAAAATTTTTTATTCTTTTAAATTTAACAATAACCAGATGAACTGATCAGTATTTCTATTGTAATTATTACGTTGACCAATATAGGAATTTCTTGTTCGACGAATAATATAATACCCAATGTGTTTATACTGGTACACATAATATATTGCACACGTGCGATGGCTAAAACAATTATAAACTAAATTCTTATCATATCACGCATACAATACCCAGCTATTGTGATATGAATTTTTGATATGATATGAATTTTCTTACTATCAATTTCCATTTATTAAAGAATAATTTTCAAAAGCAACAATATGATATTTATTAATGTTTATACGATCCATGGAAATCAGTGTGTTGCTTGAACTGTAATGATGAGATCGCGAAAAAATTTTACTCCGTTAATTGAGAGCAAAACAAAAAATATTTCAAAGATCATTCACTGAATTAATAATATTTTGCACTTATGGTGTACAAAACCCAGCATTATAACATTTCGCTCATGGTTATTCATTGTTTCATTAATTAAGTCAGAAAGCTTAAGATGTAAATATATGATATCATTTTTTAGGTTTATAAAACTTTCAAAAATTTTTTAACAGAAAGGAAGAAATTGTCATGTAGTCAGTTGTCATGTATTTTTCTGCACCGAATTTTATAGATCCGAAAAAGAAACATAGTTCTGATCTAGTCCGACTCATTGATTGCTTATAACTTTTATCGTAATATATTGATTAACGGTTTTCAAGCGAATTTCATTGTATTGACAAGTGACCTGTATATTTCATTGACTTACCAGCATTAAATAATTTTCAAGCATTTATTGATGAGAAATTAAAAATGTTTATTATGGAAAATCCTACATTCGATGACAGTTAGAACAACAACAACAATAACAATAGCAACGAGGACAATTACAACAACAATGCCGGAACAATAACAACAATGACAATAACAAGCGCGAAGAGAATAATAACGACAACGCTATGCACAGTCATTTATTTCCTTTGGAACCTGGTGATTAATAAGGATTTATTAATCCAAATTAGAGCAGATTGAGAAGTATTCCATGGATGAAATTAAGTATTGCTTACGGGTGTTTATGTGAAAATCATAATATATTTATGCTAAATCATATGAAAACGAGCACTTCTAATGCTTACTAAAATTAAATTTAAACGATTATACAGAATATCGGAAAAGCATATGAATTAATGGATAACTTGTAAATTATTTTCGTTAACATATTTTATGGAACAGTTCTGTTAATGCTGTTCATCTTAATTAGTATATATTTTTATGCAATTTATTAAATTATCTTTATAGTCTATCAAAAAAATTAGCATTTGAATATTATTTGAAAATTAAAAAGTCGTTATTTAAAAGAGAATAATGTCAGTTTTCTCAAAGATTCACAATACCTTTGGATCATTAATTAAATTTATATTGCATAATTAAAAGATATAAATTGAATTTGCATGATATGATTTAAGAATGGCCACATTCAAAATTTTATTTAGATGGTTCAATAAAATATCCAAAGTGTCGCGTATCGCTAAAAAACAAAAAATACGACATATCAGGTTGATTAATCATGGTGTTGTTCAATTATTGATTGGACTGAACATTAATCAAAAATAGATGAAAAATTGTGACAAATTGGTTCTAAATGAAATACGAAAAAATGGAAATTCTTTCTTCAAATGAAGTTGTCGCGAAAGTCGCGAAAATTAAAATAAATTTTATACAAATTAAAGGGAATGTTTTCCATGACTCATTAGTTATCTCATTTTGTTGTCTGTCTGATTTACATTTCTTAGATTTATTTCCCATCAAATTCCAATGTGTCTTTTTTGGTGTTTTTTGCCCATATCTTATGTTTTGGTATACAGGAAATTCATTTCCTCCTTAGAATATTCATCCAAATTCTCATCCTTATCTTCTCAT